TTTATTCCAAACATCAGAGTGTCCCATAAAATGTCTGTGAGAGAGTACACGCCGCGCCATCACGCCTTGCCCTTGCCCTTGGAATCTGAAGTACCTGAAACCATAAACAAACCTGTAAGCACGAAGCTTAGTGAGTTCCCCAGAGCATACCCCACACACAAACCAAATAACATGCTAGCTATAAACGATACCTCTACCTCATAACACATATCAACTAGCTATAAAGCTACCTCTACCACATAATGCATCTACCTCTACCACATAATGCATATCAATTGACCATAAAGCTATCTCTACCATTAGCCACAAAGGCTATCTCTACCCTTAGCCATACAAGCTATCTCTACCTTTAGCCCTGAAGGCTATCTCTACCACTAGCCCTGAGGGCTATCTCTACCATTAGCCCTGTAGGCTATCTCTACCACATATCAATGCATAACAATGCCACACACCTCTACACAACAAGTATACCAACTATCATAAAATAGGCCGGCCTTGGTGCCTTAGACCCATTGGTATGGTGAGAAGACTCACCTCGAATGCAGAAGCTTCCTGAAGAAATCCTTAGTTGCTGCCCCGCCCACTTCCTGAACCATCAATACTGATCAATATACCCAATTAGCAACTGGGTCCCATACCATAATTTTTAGTCCATGCATGGGAGTAAAATGACTATTTTACCCCTGGCCCAGTATGATCCAAAACTAAGGCCCAAATCTCGAAACAAAACCCAACACTAGGTAGGCTTTCCAAGCCCACTAGTGGTCCACTAATGGCCCAATTTTCTCAATTGGGCCCAATCCCTCTAATGGGCCTTACCCTAAGCCCAAACACATTCCTGGCCCAAAACATCTGACTCCTGATGGCCCACTAAGGCCCAAAGACCCAAAGTCCACTGCTTGGCCCAACCCGGGGCCCAAAACATCACAAGCCCATAACTGATGAGTACGCGGGGCGTACTCATATGTACCCTAAGCGTACAGGCTGAAGGTGGTGTACGTTGCGCGTACCTGTATGTACGCCCAACGTACTCCTCTGTTAAGCTACTTTCCCATTAAGTGCTTAATACTCGGGATTTCAACATCAAACTTCAAATCTAAGTCCATTAAGACATCTTAAGGCATAAAGTTGGCAACTTTATGCCTTTGCATGCTCCATATGCTCCCAACAACCCATTAAGACCTTTCCAAGGGTCTTGATCCATGCATGAGGTTAGAATACTCATCAAGATTGCATTTTTATGAAGTAGATAGACCAAAGGACCTCAGATCTACACTTCCCAAGCTCTGGAGTTGCTCAACTCCCAAGAGATAGTCCATAAGCTCATAAAAAACACCAAACAAGCCCTAATCTAGATCTCAAGCTATAAGATAACAAGGTAGAAACTTTATACCTTCTGAGACTTTCAAATGAGCTGGAGAACCTGGAGCCAAAAGCTCTTCCCTAATCAATGAGACTCCAAGACGATCACTCTTCTCCAAGAACACTAAGATGCACTCCAAGATGGCCTTACAATCTCACACTCTCACAATTAGGGTTAGGGTTTCGAAGAGGGGATTAAAGGGTGAGAAGGAGGCTGACCCTTGAGGGTGTAATGTTCTTTATATAGTGTCACACCCTAAAAATTAGGGTTTAGTGACTCTGGGTGTACGTCTCCAACACCCGTGACCATTTACTCCATCTACGTTGGGCGTACTCTCGAGCTGGCCACCTAGCATGCATGGGATCTGCTTGGCACTAATTTCCATTAAGGGCTAAAATTGACAATAACTTCAATGTGCCATAACTCCTTCATTCCAAGTCTGTTTCCTACGAACTTTATATCCACGAAAAGGCGGCGGGAAGCCCTACGCTCCTATCCATGCCCCAAGCCTAACACCTCCCGGATAAGACCCGGTATCCCTAAACGACCGAATCGCCCTACCCTTTGGCTTCCGAGACCACAACCGAGTACTTTCGAAACAAGGTGTTACAGGTATAGTTAATAATATTTTATTACTTTATAGGTTTATAGGAATAAACATGATTATAAAGGCGTAGGTATAAAGAATGAACCTAAACGTAATGTGTTGTAGGTTTATAGGGATAAACCTATTCGTAAGATGTTGTAGGTTTAGGAATACCTAAACCTATAAGAGTAAGCCATATACTATAGTTGTGCTCTCATAGGAAAGTACTAATTCATTATAGTCGTTAGCTCTGATACCAATTTGTTACACCCCCTACCGACGATGGAAACATCGGGGTTGCTACGTAAACGTTGGTTCACATTTAAACAACATATAATGAATAATACCAGGATTTATATAACATTACATTCTTCCAGAGAGTAAGTACAAATAATTGCATTGTTTAATAAATCCAAAAGCGATAGATACTAAATACAAGTTTTGCAAAGCGTAAGAAGTGAACAAAAGGCCTACTAAAATGGCCAACCATTTATTACAAGGAAATAAATCTTTCATCACACACAGAGTGTGTTCTTCCAGCTCTTATGTTCCTGAAGATACATACGTTTAAAACAATACGTCAACAATAATGTTGGTGAGCTTTACAGGTTTTGACTCAGTGCGTTTATATAATCAAAAGTGTGTTTAAAACTAATGAATTATAAAAGAGTAATTTGCAATTTGTTTACACTTGTAATTCCATACAAGTAAAAAAAATTTGTTTATCAATTATAACATTGGCTATAGTTAAATAAGTGTGTCGTGTTTAATCTTTATAAAACATTAATTATGTAAAATAAATATTCAACACTTAATCATTTGAATAAATCGTTCTCATTTTATTCCAGCACATTCTAAAATGAATTTTCGGGTTCTAATATGAGCCTATAACCGAACTATGGACGAGAAAGCCTCTGCAGATCCACTGTATATATACTTCTAAAATGTTGAATCATATTTATTGTTTATTTGTTCACATGAGAAAGAAGCAAAAAAGTAAGTTGTGAACATATGTTCATCTGTGAACATTAATGTATTTCATCAACAGTTGCAAACAACAAGCGTTTGTTTTTTTGCCATCGATAAATCTAGAGGTGAAGTTGAAGACTATGGTGGGATGTGAACTTGTAACAGAATGAGATATGAACCCACATAAAGTTCACTTATATATATATATATATATATATATATATATATATATATATATATATATAGATATATATATATATATATTACCCATGAACATACAATGAATCTACTCTATCTTCCCTCGTGCATAAATATATGTTCAAATGTTCCTTTATGAATTTGCTCTATTTTCTTTCTTTCTTCTTTCAATAGCTTTCTCCTTTACTAAAAATTAACCATATGAATATGTGTAAGTTTGATATGTGCATATTTAGCTATATATTTAGTATAGATTTTTATTATTATTTGGCTAATTATTTGCAAATTATGGACAAAAGGTGCTTAATTGTGTTTAAATTGTATTTTCAGTCCAAAAGATATGCTCGGAAGCAAAAGGACGCAGGAGATGCATTCGGAAGCTCGGGAATTGAAGAAGGAAGAAAAAGAGCCAAAATCCTGAAGTACTCGGCGAGTAGGGACGTCTACTCGACGAGTAGGCACGAATGTTCGCGAAGTAAAACACAAAGTCCTTACCGTACACAAATTCTTCAAGAGGACTCGGCGAGTCGGTTTGCTACTCGAAGAGTAGCCTCTGTTTTCTGAAAACTATAAATAGAGGTGAATTTCGAGTCCAAAATTCTCTCTGGCTTTTTGGAGATTACTTGGCCACTAAGGAGACTACTGGAGACCTGAGCAACGTGAGAAGAACCCTAATCCTCAATCCAAAGAAGATAAAGGCAACATAAGTTTACTTTTCCACTTTATCTTTGAATAGAACCATGTTTGGATTGATTGAATTCGTTTTTAGGTTTTTATCTGCTGTAATTATGAACTAACTTCGTTAGTTTCTGTTTAGGGTAGATAAGTTTGCTCCTATGGATTAATTTATGTTTGGATTGATTGTTATTTGGTGAATTTTTGTTAAATTAAGCTTGTTAAAGACCCTTATGCATTAACCACAACTATTTTCTGTTAATTGCTAAGTAATTAAGTTGCATAACATCTCTTAATTGCTTATCTCATGTGATTTATGTGAACACATTGTTATGTGCCTAGGAATAGTGAATGTGAAACTAGGATTAACTAGAGAATGGGTAAATTAATGTGTGAGCTTGTTTGATAAACCATCAACAAGGGGTTAATTGAATTACTAATTTAATTAGCTAATTACAAGTCTTAATTAACCCGAATAAATAAACTAGGAAATTTATTAGTTTAACCAATTGGCCACTGTTTGAATTAATTTATTTTCTAAGGATTGGTAATAGCGAATGTGAATCTAATCACCTTAGTCGGTAACCAATAACAATTAATCAATTGCATTGCCATAAAATTAACCATAGGAGTAAATGAATCGAACCTAAACATAAACCCTTTTGATTATTGAATTTAGTTGATTTTTACTTGCTTTTAGCTGTTAGTTAAGTTTTAATTAAGTTTCTGGTCTTGCAAAACTAGAGAAAACTCTTCTATTTTACTATTTGTTTTAGATAATTCTAGTAGTTAGATTAATTTCCGTTCATTGAGTTCGATACCCTGCTTGCTAAATTATACCAACAATTGACAGGTCCACTGCCTTTTGTGCGTCAAATTCATAATTAAAAAGTAGGAATAAAACTAGTTCGTTTTACACAGATCAAAGTTGATTAGAGATTCTGAAAAAGTTAATTCAGCATAAATGAACATATGTTCATAATTGAACATGTGTTTATTTTATCATCATACCCTTAATGACATGATTTAATCCAACGGTTTAGAGGGTGGTTATGTAGCTATGTGTTGAACCATATATATATATATTATATATATATATATATATATATATATATAGAGAGAGAGAGAGAGAGAGAGAGAGAGAGAGAGAGAGAGAGAGAGAGAGAGAGAGAGAGAGAGAGAGAGAGAGATTTATGTTAACTGTACCCAAACGTATTTTTCTATGGAAGCCCATTTTCAACTGAAAGCTTATAACAAGTTTGATTTTGCTTATCGGGCCTTTTGGCCCAAATGAAAAGCTCAACTAAACTCCATGGGCCAACCGCCGCCGATGATCTCAAACTCTCCTCCGGTCTCCCTCTCTTTCTCTCTAATGGCGCCTCCGAGGATTCTATTGACTGGAGATCCCCTTGGCCACCTATATCAGCTCTTCAAACGCGTTTCATCGGTATATATACAAACACAATCATTTATATGTTAATATGCGTATGTATTGATATTAAGTTTTTTGAATTTTGCACTTTGTTTTGTGGTTTTAGGTTAATAAATCAACCGGTCCATTTGATGCCGTATTATGCGTTGGGCAGTTCTTCCCGGAATCGTCCGAACATTTGGAGGAGCTGACTGAGTACGTAGAAGGTCGGAAGAATATCCCGCTACCGACCTATTTCATCGGCGATTATGGAGCTGGAGCTGCCAAGGTCCTATCAGCTGCTGCGAAGGAGACTGGTAATCAAGGGTTTAAGATGGATGGCTTGAAGATTCGGGATAATTTGTACTGGTTGAAAGGCAGTGGCAAGTTCACACTCCATGGTATGTTTTTGATTGTTAGAATGCACAATAAATCAATAATGCAATAGAAATGTACTTGTTAACTTCCAACTTCTTTTCATTTCAGTAGTTACCTACCTGTGATTGCTGATTACTGTACTCATATCTAGGTTTATCTGTGGCATACTTGTCTGGTAGGCGATCACCAAGTGGTCTAATTTATGGAACTTATACCCAAGATGACATCGATGCTCTGAGGGCATTAGCTGAAGAACCTGGAATCATAGACATATTCCTCACATATCCTTCTTACCTCTTTCAGTTTCAGTCCATTCTATTTCTTATAGTTACATGGGTGATGAGTTTATATCATAAGGTTTCATTTCCTTAACTACTACTCACTAATGAATGGCCCGATGGAATCTTGAATAGAGCTTCAACATCCAATATTCCTCCAGGAATATCAGATTCCACAGGTAGTGATGCTGCAATATCAGAGCTAGTTGCAGAAATCAAGCCCCGGTAAGTTTAAAATTCAAATGTTAAAAGTTTATTTATGGTTGATCTTAATTGAAGTTGCTCTTATGGTCTATGGTCTATGGTCTATGGTAGCTACCATGTTGCAGGATCTAAGGGTGTATATTATGCTAGAGAACCATATATGAATGATGATGCTGTACATGCAACCCGTTTTATAGGATTAGCTCCAGTAGGAAATGCATCTAAGCAGGTAAAGTCAACTATTTAACTATTTCACATCATTTGGTATCTATTAATCCTCATTTTTTTGCTATGTGTAAATTCTCTCAGAAATTTATTCATGCAATTTCTCCAACTCCAGCATCTACCATGTCTTCTACTGAGATATCTACCAAACCACCAAACACCACCTTATCTCCATATACTCAAGCAGAACCAGAAAAAAGATCTGCTGAAAGTGTTTCAGATTCACAGTATTGGCGATATGATGTCTCAAAAAGACAAAAACTTGGAAGTGGTGAGAGTGATAAGTTGTGTTTCAAATTCATTTCTTCTGGTTCTTGTCCACGTGGCGACACGTGTCACTTTCGCCATGATATGGAAGCAAGGGAACAATCCATGAGAGGTGTATGTTTTGAGTTTTTGAATAAAGGGAAATGTGAAAGAGGTGAAGATTGCAGCTATAAGCATAGTTTGCAGGAAAAAGGAAATTCAAGATCAAAGGAATGTTGGTTTTGTTTATCGAGTCCAAATGTGGAATCACATTTGATTACCAGTGTTGGTGAGAATTGTTACTGTGCTCTTGCTAAAGGACCATTGGTTCAAGATCATGTACTCATATTACCAATTGAACATCTACCAAATACTCTCACTTCACCTCCAGAATGTGAGATAGAGTTGGTTAAATTTCAGAAGAGTCTTAAAGATTATTTCAAGAGCCATGGAAAAGAAGTTGTTTTCTTTGAGTGGGTTTACATAAGAACAACTCATGCTAATCTACAGGCGATTCCGGTTCCTTTATCAAGAGCATCTGCTGTTCAGGATATCTTCAATTTAGCTGCTGAAAAGTTGGGATTCAAGTTTATGGTGCTAAAAAGTAAGTGGCTGTTTCATTTGTACGTAATGAGCTTAATCTTTTAAATACTTTTGTTTCTTTTTTGTCTTTATCTAGACGGAATGACTTAATGGGTTAAGCCAAAAACAAAACCTGACTTAATGCAAGGGTAAAATGGTCATTAGGTTGAATCTTGATCCTTTTTTTTTTTGTTATTATTATTGTAGGTGACAAGAGTTCAGAGGGAAGAAAATTGGTGCGTAGGGAGTATGATGGAAAAAGTAGTTTATTTTATGTGGAACTCCCTGGAGGTATAATATTATCACATGTGGTTGAAGAGAATGAGAAATTTCCAGTGCAATTTGGTCGTGAGGTAATAAATTATTATTATTATTATTATTTGGTGTATAAAATTTATAGATATATAATGGAAATGGGAATTTTTTTTTTTTTTGTGAATTGCAGGTTTTGGCAGGGTTGTTAAACATGGCAGATAGGGCTGACTGGAGGAATTGTAAGCTTAGCAAAGATGAAGAATTAAAAATGGTTGAAAGATTTAAGACTAGTTTCCAAGAATATGATCCGAATAACTAATTCATGAATGTGTATTGAGCATAGGAAAGATTGTGGAAAGTTGTTTACATGATCCAATTGACCAAGTCATTTTTTTTAATCTTTTTTTGGTGTGGAAAATGTTATTGGTAAAAAAAATCTTATGATTTCTAATTTTCTATGCTCTAAAATGTAGTAGAGGTTGATTTGTCAAAACAGTTTAATAAAATTATATTACTAGGTTGATCAAATACTACAATTAATCTTGGGATGATAAAACAGCCCCTTTCAGAAATTTTATCCTGTAAGCCACCAAGCTGATGGTTTTGTAAAACATAAAGTAGTTTGTAATAAGTATGTTCAATCACAAAACATAACTAATTCATCAACATTCTATAAATCAATATTAGAGGAGCCAATTCATCAACATCAATGTTATGTGAAAAATTATATTGAATTGGAGAAATTTAACATCAAATTTGATGAAAATTTGAATTTTGATTTTAGGTTGGAGATGTTTAAGTTGATTTTTTTTTTTTTTTTTTTTCACTGTTCGAGGGTATTATTGTCTTTCACAATATAACATCTTTTCCCTTTAAAAAAGACGTCAAAGAGTTGATACGTTGCAAAACCCACCATAACCCTACCCCTGCGGCGCCGGAAACAACTAACGAGTTCTATACTACGCATGGCTCCAGTTACCTCCGGCGACAACCAATCGAAACAGAGAATCCCTCGAGATACAGTCAGGAAATCTCTCATCTCTTTGATTAAATGGAAAAGGAAGCAAGTCTCCGATCAGAAAGAGCCGATTTCCGGCGACGTTGATGATTTCATCTACCTTCTCTTAACTCTCAAGAAAATCCCAAACAAAGACTTCACCAAAAGCCCTAACAAAATACCCATTCCCCACTCTCTACAAACTTCGCCGGAATTCTCCCGCAGTTGTCTCATAATCGACGACCGGCCGAAACCCAACTCCCAGAAACTAACCGTCGAATTCGCCGACAAAAAAATCAAATCTTTAGGCATACCCATCTCGAAAATCCTCAAACTCTCCAAGCTCAAATCAGATTACAGATCCTTTGAATCAAAAATGGAACTATTAAACTCATTCGATATCTTCTTGGCGGACCGGCGAGTAATCGACATGCTGCCGGGGATATTGGGCAAAGTGTTCTACAAGAACAAGAGAAAGATTCCGGTGCCGGTGGAATTAAAGCGAGATGGCGATTGGAAAGAGGAGATTGAAATGGGGTTTTGTTGTTCTTTGTTGTGGTTAAGTAAAGGGACTTGTAGTGTGGTGAAAGTTGGTAAATTTGAAGGAATGGAGGTGGAGGAGATTGTTGATAATGTGGTGGCTGCCGTCGGTGGAGTGGTGGAGGTGGTGCCTAAGAAATGGGTGGGGGTGAAATCGTTTCATTTGAAGTTTTTTGATTCATTAGCATTGCCGATTTATCAAAGAAAGGAGGATCTTATTCGTCAGAATGGGATTACAAAAGTGTAGGTGAAATATGAATCAAATTCTCAAGCTTTGTTTTGTTTTTGTTGGTAGTTGTATTTGCACTAGAAATACATTTTTATAATTGTTGAACTGCATCACAATTAACAGTTAAAAATAGTTGTTGAACATGAGTTATGGTCATAAGTATGCTGTTGTTTTGCTTTAGTTTTTTTATTTAAAATGAGTAATCATAATAAGTTATTATTATAGACTAGCTCTTTTATTTTTACTAAATTTTCTATGCTTTAAGCATGTAAGTCTCATAAACTGTCACCATTGTAGGTTATCAGCAAAGATTGATAAATTAATGGAAGGTCTTTTCAGTGTCTTTTTCTTTTTTTTTTTTTTTTTTTTTTTTTTTTTTTTTTTTTGCGTTCTCGTTTAAATTGGCATTCTTATGGGGCTTCTTCGTTTTTTGGGGATAATAACTTATATTGGTAACACGGCATTCTCATGGTTTTATTTTTTTTGGATAAGAACTTATATTGGTAACACAGATTAGGTTTTGTTCATATTTAGTGCTTTGTATTTTTTTTTGTCCACGTATTTACCATTAAACTTGTTCCGACTGTTCATATTACATCCTTATAACCGGTTGGTGTAGGTTTTAGCCGGTTTCCGGCATCTCTGGCAGCTCCGGTCGCTTTCATCGGTGAGTCTTCGGCCAATGTGATTTTTCCAATGAGTTCTTGGCACATCAGAACACACATACTCCAGTGAGTTTGTTCTTCAACAATCAACATACACTTATGAACAGATCCATACATACATACACACACTCGAATGTGTGTTTGTGAGCGGATATGGAAATCATGTGTGTGTACGCAAGAAGCCAAGAACAAACCAAGATTCTGATGAATCAACAACATACACACATCTGGAAATCGTGAAGATGTGTGTGTGTACATCTCTAAAAAATCGTGAATATGTGTGTATGTGTTTGTGCGCAGATGTGAATCGTGTTCATCCTTAGTAAATCTGAAAAACCTAAACTATGTTACCCTTATAAGTAATTAGTCATTGTTTTTACATTTTAATTATGATTATATGTTGTTTAGAAAGGCACTCATAAATCTCATCATGTGGTAATGACAAAGGATTTCAAAACGTTTATTTTAGGAAGCTTCGATGATTTTGCTTTGATATCTAAAATTGTAGCAAAGCAATACTAATCGCAAAAACTCACTCCCATGAGAATTGGGTAAATGGGAGATATCCTACTTTGGAATGATGATCTACAGGACAAGGACAAGGCAAAAAAAGAAGAAGGATGGAAGGTCATATTGATTGAAGAAATAAATAGAGAAGTAAATGAGATACAAGGAAAATAGGTGAACATTGCACGAGTACATAAATAGCCAAAAACAAAGACTAGCATTAAAACAGGAAGCATATATTAACGATACAAGCTAAAACTTAGGTAACCAAGTAAGACGATAAAAATAGAGGATCAAACAAAAAAACACAATGAAAAGAGGATGTAGCACCTAAAGTCCTAAAGTACTCATACACTACATCACTACCTTAGTATTAAGCTTCAAGCCTCTTATCTAGCCTCTTATGGGAGGGAAGTGTAAACTATTTCAAGTCTAATTAGTCTAACATCATGATTTGATATCTTCTCACTTCCTTCTCGGGCATCATCTCCTTGCAGCATCAATATTACTCGTCTACATCCTCCTTAACGCAATTGTCAGGTGTCTTTTAATTTTATAGACATATCTGAACCACCACAACTATTCTTCCTCACCTTTTGGGGACCATCATCGTTTCCATCGAATTTCGGATTGTTGTATTAAATACCATGTCCAACATTCTCCTTGTTGCAACTTCCATCTTCTCGTGCTCATAAATCGGCAGATATGTGGATCCATACAACTATGTAGATTTTTCCCTAAAGTTTCAATGAGATTTTTTTGTCACACAAAACTCTTTTGGTTGCTCTCCGGTTCAAGCATCCCATCTTTGTGCAACGAGTAACATCATCCTCAACACCTTCATTAAAAATCATACACATGTACTTGAAGCTCTCTTTCGTATGTACGAGTTGCTTACCGATATACATTTCTACCAAAACAATATTGTCAACAAAAATCATACATCATGACTCCATGAGTCTTGCATACGATCTTGTTCATAACTCATAAGTAGGGCAAAAATGTTAGTGTAAAACGTCGACCGACAATACATGTCGTGTATAGCCTTGATATACATGCGATCCCAATTTCTAAGGTTGTGGCAAAGAATTTGTAATTTTCTTATGATGAAAAAAGTAGTTTCTACTATACCAACAATAGTTTGTAAAGATGGTAAAAGGGTAAATAAAGTTTCATATTTTACGAACATTGTAGCTTTAGTAAAACAAAAGTAGCTCTATCATTTTAACAAGAAAAAAAAAATAGTACAAATCAAACCAAACTATTTATTCGATGCTACAAGTTCACAACGAACATCAAATAATAAGCTACAAAAAAGAAACCAAAAGTCCTATAAAAATTTGAAACTCGGCTCACCTAGTTTTCAACAAAAGCCGCATTTTTAACACCCTTGGAGCTTTGCTTCCTTTTTTTTTTTTATCTCGAGTCCCATATCATATTTGTGCACGCATAAAAAGTATCATAACACTTACTTGTAAACAAAACTCAATCAAGCACTTAATTCATTTTGCTTTGAATTTGTCGATGAACATGCACTAAGAACTCAACATATGAGAGACCATTTGGAGACTTGTCTTCCACCATGTACGAGAAGAACAACACCCCTGAACAAAATAAAACTTATTATTATTATTATCAGTGTTTCTTTTTGACTTAATGCAGAAAGAAAGAAAGAAAAGTTACCTGATGGATCTCCTTTCTTGCATAATTTTAAGCTGCAAGAAATAAAAGATTTTGTTAAGAACCAAAACAACCAACATAAAAGTTATTCTCATCAACAAAAAAAGAAAGATTAAATGACTATTAAAGAAGTGCAACAAAAAACAATATACATACCGAAGATAATTGCATCTTTGGCTCCTAATCTCATTTATGACCTCATTAAGCTTCTTTGACAAAGGATTATCGTATTGCTGCAACACAAACTGAAGAAGAAGAAAAAAAAGTTATCAATATCTGCTTCATAAAACATTGATCAAAAAAGTACATGCTACACATGGTCAATGGAATGAATCATTCCATTCCTTGCATCACTCAAAAAACAAACAACTTTTTAATCCCAACGGAATGAACCATTCCATTCCTTCCTGAATTCCGTTCCGTCATACCTGACTGGGAATCTCATCAACAGAAGAAATGCCAAACAGTTGTCGTGTTGTGTCAGGATCTACAGAGCTTCCAATATAAATTAAACAATCCTCCCCATTTTCAAGAAGATAAATTCCATTGTCATTCACTTGTTCACTTGATAGAGGAATCGCAACCGGAATCACAGATCCATCTGTTTCCTGTAACCTCAGAAACAAACAAAAAAACAAGTAAGACACCATATAAGGGAATCTTAAAAGACAATTTTACCCTTTACCTTTGAATTAAGGTCGTGAACACTTATCATTCTAGGGTACACAAGCGGAACCGCCAATTGCGCCGAAAGAGGGAATACATAATTGATCCAGAATGACCGCTCGTCTATCCGCCCATCCGTCCGCAATCCAATACTTTTAATCAAAGCTAAAATAGAACAAACCAAAAAAAATCAAAAAAAGACAAATAAATAAATAAAACAATCTAGAATATTGGTGGAAAAAAACATACCGAGAGTGTACAAAGGTAACAATTTGAGTGCTTCCGGAAGAATAAGCTGTCCTGATGAAGACACAGTGGCACAAAACTTGCGATACGCGTGAAGAATATTGATGCAAAGATTTGTGACTTGCTCCCTTACATGTAATAACGGATTTGTAAGGATCTCATTTGCAGCTGTAGGAAATAAAAATAATAATGAAATCAGTAATAATAAAAATATTTAAGTAAGCTGTAAGCAAGGATTAATTAATAATAAATTAACTACCTTGCTTTAGAAAACATGAAAACTGTGTATCCAAGTCAGCTGAGCGGAAGAGATTGCTCAACATGGTTGTGCATGGCAATGACAATGTAGAGACACGTATTCTTCTTTGTCCATATACAGTTGTATAGAGAAGTGCACACTAGCAAAAATATAAACATACAATAATAATTTAAGTGGATGTGAAAATATAAACGTCATTATTATTAGGTCATTAAGATAAGACAAATGGGATACCTGAAAAGAACATTCTGTTCCATCCTGCAGTTTGTCATCATGTTTCAGAGTCACCATGATGGTTTTGTCACAATCAATCTGAAAAAATAAAAATAAAAAATTTACTACTTTTAGTTAGAAAAAACATAAACTCGAAAGTGAAGCAATGGAAGTTTCCGGAAGGGGAGAAAGACAAACTGCAGGGAGATCGACATCTGTTGGGATGCGTTTACAGAAGTTTCCGGAATATTCTTGTACTTGAAGACCCTGACTAGATCTAACACGCATCACAGCTTCAAATCCTTGTGGTCTTGTGACATTCCATCGAAGATCATTGTAAAGTTTTGCAGGATCTGAAAGAGCTGAAAACGGGTGATAATAGTACAGCTGTCCTCCTGTTGTTCTTGGGATCACAGAGATTGAAGCAATGTCTACATAACTTTGGGTCGTTATAAATACATCAACAGAAACCTGTCAATATTATCAAAATAAGTTTTTTTTTTGTGTTTTTTTTTTAAAAAGAAGACAGCATGTGTAGAGAACTAACTAAAAGGTTTTCTTTATAATATTAAGGAAGCTTCACCTGGTACTCAGCAAACTCAATCGCCATTGTCTTTAAAGTCTTGTCTACTGGTTGGAGTAGTTTATGAGGTTCCTGAAATTTATTTAATAACAAAACGATAACATTTTTTATATAAACAAGGTTTTCTCAGTGTCATAGTTGTAATTTCAACATATATTTATATATACCTTCTCCCCTGCAGATATATTAGTTCTTCCTTCAGCTTCTCTAGCAGAAAGTGCAGCAATACCAACAGAAGGCAGAACTGAAATATAATAATAATTACTCAAATATTGTATTTTATACATGTATAAATTATATAATGAGAAAATTCATGAGCTTGCCTGCTTGAAATACCAAAAGTTTGCCTCCAGTGCTCTTCATTGCCATAAAAGCAGCCTTGATCCCAGCACCAAAAGCTGAATCTGCTGTTTTATTGTTCTGAAACATAGTTGGGATGCTTTCTAGAAGCAGATCTAGATGCTGACGACACTGTTGCATCAAATCAAATATAATATTTAATATTAGAATAAAACTTCTTGTAAAATAAAAAGTAGATTTTTCATGACTAACCTCAGAAAGTTGAACAATAACATCAGTTTGGAGAGGAGTGTAAACATCTTGTACATCAGGAACTATGAGCATTAATGGCTGCATAAACAAAATCAAGAAAATTAGTAATCATAACTAAATCTTGGAAATTTGAAGTTATCTGAAACTGTATAAACCTGCTGTAATGCACGTTTGAGGTTGTAAAAATGGATGGTTGAGTCAAATGTAGCAATTCCCACCATAGTCCGTGGACCCTCCTGCACCAGATTATTATAAATCAAAAAATTAGACCAACAATCGAGGATTATAAAACAAACAAATAAAGAAATATAGAGTAAGAAACTTACTGGAAGATCAGAAATAACTCGGCTGATAGCACTGCAAGCTCCAGCTGTAGCACCAGTCTGTATGGCGTTCATAGATACATCAATGAGGAAGAAAAACACAGCTGGCATCGGGTCCCGCACCTTGAAAAAGGTAAAATGAACATGTTATAAATCAAAAAACTGTATTATTTGGTTCAAAGATATATACATTTTGTTCAAATACAAACCATAAATTCCTTTGTAGCAACAAATTCAACTGTGCCTCTACAAAGCTCAGGTCTTTCATCAGCATCTCTTCTTCTGCCATCTGGGCCTAAATTGCACTGATACTCACGGGGAGTT